AAACGACTTGACCCACCATCAAAAATTTTTTTGGGGTACTAAGTCTAGACTTTATGCATGTCCCGAATTAGCCCATACGTAGTAACTTGCATATTCAAATCAGTAGTTCAGTTTTATAACTATCAAATGATATTTTAAAAATAATTTGATCGTAATGACTTGGAATTAAGCTTCCAACATAGTAAAGTCAAATATGATTAGGATTGGTTGGAGCACCGAAACATTATATCTAATATATGTTATCCTAAATTACTAAATTATGTAAGTTATGTACTATTAGATTACAATGTTAAAATGCTAACACCGGATGTAATATATCGTATCCTCACTAACGCTATCCAGATCTTTCAGGATTTTCGTAACAAAGCAATTTTGCTTTAGCGTTTGAATGACTCAACCAGAGCGTCTGGAAAAATAAACAGATCAAATTTGTATATGCAATCTAATTGGTTGATTCATGTCGTATTGAGATACAATTATTAACAAACAGTATACTATAAAATAAAATATGAACATGTGTGCGTACGATAATTGAGAATATAAAAAAAGGCTTACGAAAGCAGAGATCTCTGAAATATTTTGTGTTCTCACGCTCTGCTCATTTCGCATTCAAGAGACTTTTCTGTCAGTTAGAAAGGGTCGTCTTTGACAATTTGAAGCCACAAGTCATATATAGGAAGGAAGGGTGTACTTGATCATCGAACATTTATTAATTAGGCTTTATTAGATATACCTGCATTATGGGGGACGAGGAAGGTGATTATAAGAATTCTATAAACATACGATCTTAGAAAATTTTTACTATGACAGATTTTAGTAAATCACGGTTAAATATGCGATTAATCAATCATAATCTAATTCACCACATTTTTTTTCTTAAGACGTTTGTCGTGTTTGTCGTAGCGAACGCACAGAAGAGCAGCCGTTGTTCCACCCTTGTAAATGCGCCGGCAGTATCAGATTTGTGCACCAAGATTGGTACGTAGTTTTTTTAGTACAATTCGGTTTAGTCCATTCATATTTCGTATACTCATTATTCATTTATATATCTTTTTAATCTAATATAAAGCCTCACAGAATGGTTAAAGCATAGCAAAAAGAAGTAATTCACTGTTTCTTCTCTTCTCTCCTTTTTGTTTGTTTCCTTTATCAAAAATTTTTTCTTTTTTTAAAAAAAAATTAATTTTCTATTTATTAGGTATTGTGAAGTATGCAAATATCCTTTTTCATTTACACCAAGTAAGAAAACATTACAGAGCATGTTGTTTATTAACAATTCTGAGAAATATTCATCAGGGATAGTCTTTAACAATGATTTTTGAATTAGTTTATGATCCTAGCATGCCAGAGTCTATTCCTATTGTTCTGTTTCTTCGTCGTGGAATACGACGTTTTTGTGGGCTAATTCAGATATGGCTTCGAGCAATGCTTGTAGGAGCTGTATGGTTGATAACGTTACCTTATATGACTGTTTGGGTATGGAGATTTTATTTTTGGAGCGGAGAGAGTGTAGCTTTTAGTCTGAATGGCCAGAGTCCACCTTCTAGATTGATAGACAATAAAAATAGCACTATACCTGGTGAAAAGAGTGCGTTGGCCATCTTTTATGTTGCGCTACTCAAAGGAACATTATGGTATATACCCCCAGAGGCTGTTGAATTTGTTGAGGCTTATGGCGACTTTGCAAGGTTAGTTAAATATTTATATTGCAATGGTTTTTGCATTAAGGTTTAATTTAGAACTTAAATATCTTATCTTTTTGAACAGTAAGTTTTTGGCTGACACATTTGAAGGACAGATCATTACATGTGTTGTAGTAATAGTGTTCGTGGCTGTATTTATGTTGAGAGAATGGATAGTACAGAATACACCAGCTGAAGATGGCCTAGAGAACGATGAATTGGACATTTTAGAAAATGATGCAATCCAAAATGAAGGAATGGAAAATAATGGAATAGGCTTACCAAATATCGCGCCAATACCTGAACAAAATGCTAACCGTCCCGAACAACTGGGAAATAATAATGATGGGGAATTCGTTTTTCAGAATGGCATGCGCTTACCATTATTTCAGCCACAATTACAATTTGAGAATTTAGAGCCAATGCAACAACCTGAAATTGAACCTGTACAGAATCAAATGCAAGATACTGGCGAGTTACGTGTGGAAAACCTTGCACCACAAACTGAAATGCCAGGATTAAATCAGAATGATATTGAATCTGATTGGATGGAAGATGAATACCATCAGATAAATAATGGCGACACACAAATTGAATCAAATGTTGAAGCAATTGATAAAAGTCCAGTTCTTTTATATCAGGATGATTTCGAAGGTGATAAGAATTCAGGCAGTATCCAGTCTATTTCAACATCAACATCATCAGTACCTCATCCAACATGGGATAATGAACAATCAAATGATAGTGGTAGTAAATCTATTGTGGCAGATGTGCAACAACCTCCTTTTTATGTTCCGTACGCAGCAACAGGCACAAGACTCTCTATATCTGATTACATGGATGAAATAAATCAAAAGGACGAAGATGAATCTTTGGCTCAATCTGATTTTTTGACTGGATCTTCTAAAAGTGATGAATTGCCCTCATCATCGCAAAAGTTACCATCGCTTGCTTCAAACAACTCCAATTTGGGACAATTTGAGTCAAAATGTGTCGATACTGAACGAGATGATGAGGCAAAAAGTAAATCCACACAAAATTTTTCATCAACTTCAAAGACATCTTCTGGGCAGTATAATATTGGTAATCTCGGAGGAACTCGAAGAATACGACCAATTAGTAAAGTGAGAAGGGTGGGTGCCCCAACTCCGGGGTTATTAAATACTCAAAAGCTCGGTGCCACATCAACAAATCCCTCATCTTACGACAATGAAGAAACTGTTAATGGTACTTCTTCAATGGATTTAAACTACCATAAAGTTTCTTCAACTAAAGAATCGCCTTCTGATAACAACGGTGATTATGAAGAAGCATCAGAAACATCAGATAGTGACGAAGATAATGAAGATATAAATCTTCAAGAAAAGTATCCGAGAGAAGTTGGCACAGCCTACAGCCCTTCAAGAGATATAACAAATGGAAATGTTTATTATGCTGATGATTCAGCATTCCCCCTGCATCGCATTCCTAAGAATGGTCAGAATTCATCGGTTACTAACCTTTTTGGAAACAGTGAAGACGAAATGTCTGATATGGATGATGATGATGATGATGATGATGATGATGACGATGATGATGATGGAGAAAATCATAACTCTGAAGATAATCCAATTGAAAGGGAAAATGCTGAACAAGGAGGAGGACCTGTGGATGTAATAGACGGTAGGTTCATAGTATATATGATAAATTCATAATGATAGCTGTGATGTTACATTTTTCATATATTTGTGACAGGTGGCGACAACGGTCAACCTGATCCTGGCTTGGATGTTAATAATGTTCAGCAACAAGCAAGACAAGAACAGCAAGCTGATACAATTTGGACACAAATTTGGAATTGGATCGCCAACGTTTTGAATGATATACCTGATCTCAATAACGAAGCACAAGATAACGATCCACAAGCTGTCAATGGTAATCAAGTTGCTATGAATCCACCCATTGGCCCAGTAAGAAGAGAGCCTAATGCGGAAGCACCTGTTTTTCCTGTTCCTGTATTTAATGAAGCTATCGATGTTCCGGTTGCTGGTCCTGCTTTAGGCCTTGAACCAGAAGAGGAAGAGGAAGAAAACGTTGCCAACGAAGACCTTGAAGGAGTTTTAGAAGCCATTGGCATGAGAGGCTCTTTGTGGATGCTTGCTCAAAACTCTGCATTGATGGCAGTACTAATTGCTTTATGCCTATTTGGTTCAGTTTGGTTGCCTTACTTCGTTGGCAAAGCATTTTTACTGGTATATATATTAAGACATGTGTTTAGTGTTAAAAATAGAATTTTAAAATTATACACTTATTTAAATGGTTTCCAGGTCAAACCTTTGAACTTGATACAACTTCCATTGACTTTATTGCGGAAATTTACTGATCCTTTGGTCGATATAATCATAGATACCATATTACCTTGGTTATGGGGGTTCATTTTACCAATATTAAAGTCATTATGGAACTTAATTTATCCTACTTTATCGCCAATGGTTAAAGACACGTCCTTAATGATTTATGTACAAGACATTACAAACCAATCTCGATACATTATCGCTCATTCTGCATCTCTGTTGACACAAATTACCTCCACTTCTGGAAAAATAACAAACGGTACCGTTATAGATAGTAATGTAAATCATATTTCTGAGTTTCTCGAAGGCCAAAATTTAACAGTACTTGTGAAAATAATTGATCGGTGGAATGGATTTGCTTACGGTAATACACCAACGGACAAGATTGTCTGCATTTTCTGTGGATATACAATCATTATCCTTTTGTGTGTGTGGTATCTATCACGGACAAGAAATCCGTATGGCCGTACTGTTGGACGTGCTGCTCAAAAAGTGCTGCGACAACAGGGCATTGTCTTAAAGGTTTGATGTATAAAATTATATCCTCTTGTATTTAATTCTAACTTTCTGGATTATTCATAAAATTTTCTTTCCAGGTTGCATTTTTTGTCGCTATTGAATTGTTAATTTTCCCCATTATATGTGGTATCTTGTTGGATTTATCTACTTTACCACTTTTCCCTGACGCCACCCCAACATCTCGCTTGGAGTTCTACCTCGAATCACCTGTCACTTCAACATTTCTTCATTGGTTTACTGGCACTGCATTTATGTTTCATTTTGCGGTGTTTGTTTCTCTCTGTCGTGAAATTGTTCGTACTGGCGTAATGTGGTTCATTCGTGACCCAAATGATCCGCAATTCCATCCAATCAAAGAAATTTTAGAAAGACCTGTCTGGACACAATTGAAAAAAATTGGTGCAAGCGGTATTATGTACAGTGCTATGATTGTATGTGGATTAGGAAGTGTTATATATTTCATTAGATATGCCTTTAATGGCATATTACCTTTGCAATGGTCGTTCACGTATGCATTTTCGTTTAATTTTCTTTACTGATGTCTTTCTCATTAAGATTAACCTCAACTTTTAATGTTTAGCGAACCTATATCGGATTTTCCTGCTGATCTTTTGGTGTTCCATATAATTATTCCCGTCACTATCACATTGGCGAAACCTAAACGTTTGTTCCGTACATTATTTGAAAATTGGTGGCATATTACCTCACATCACCTTCGATTAACATCCTTCATGTTTGGAGGACGTCATTATGATGAAGAAGGTACGCATGTTCGGAAGACATGGCGTGCCTTCTTTCTCTTTCTTAAGGCACCAATCGTTGATAATAATGCTATTGAAAATGATGATGTTGCTTTCGTGAAAGATGGCGGGTTTGTTCGAGCACCAAGTTATGATGCCGTACCCGTAGAACCAGGAAAACGGATGCTGATACCTGTTACTGAAGACGGTACTTTGATCGATCCTAATGATGCATCTGCTATAGATGATGATCAGCCTGGATATACAATTGTTTATATTCCTCCTAATTTCAGAGCAAGAATTATATTGTTTTTATTTCTTATGTGGTTTTGTGGTTCTTTGTTTTGTTGTTCAGTGACTGTTTTACCTCGTAAGTTGTTTTTATATTACCAGGCTCTTGAAATACTGTTTATTATATTGATCCTCATTTTTCTTTATTATAGTTTTGACTGGTCGATTTATTTTTCAAACCATCCTTTGTTATGAACGCCCTGTCCACGACTTATACACATTTACAGTTGGTTTATATGTCATGTGGTCATTAGGCGTCACTCTTGAATGGTTAATACGGAAATGTCAAGCTTTCGCTGAAAAACGAGACCGTTATGCTGATTGGGCTGATATAAAGCGTAAAATAGGGCAAGGAATTATTATAATCGCAAAAATAGCATATCTCTTTATATCTTTTGGTATTGTTATTCCATTCCTTCTTTCTTTGGTTATTGAATTATATATAATTCTTCCTTGGAAGAAACCTACTACGGACGTACCAATGATTTCGTTCCTGCAGGTATTATAATATTATGATTTTGCTACTTCTATATATATATATATATATATATATATATATATATAATATTCTTATCTCTTTTCGCAGGATTGGGCTTTGGGTGTTGTTTATATGAAAATTGCATATCGTATTATATTTATGTTGCCCGATAATGTTTATAGTAGAGCAATCAATGAAGTAAGTTTTATTTATATTTATTACATAATATTACAGGAATTTGCGTTTAATTTTTATTTGATTTCTATCAGATTACTGTACATGGCATAAGACGCTTAAATGTTAAATTAGCAACGACCGTTTTTATTATTCCTATTGGTGGTTCTGCATTGTTAGCAGTTATATTTCCTGCTTTCACGGCGTGGGGAATTATACATTTGTCGGGTAAGTTCATTGTATTTCACGGAATATTCTTTAATATGCTAATTTTTTTCCTTTTATGTTTAGGCATTACAAATGCCATTACAATAGCTAGAATTAATCGATTTATATATCCAGTTTTTTTGGCAATGGTATTCGGGTATCGAATCCAAAGACAAACTGCACAATTAATAGAAAATTGGATGCAAACAGTTAGGGATGAAGAATATCTTATAGGACGAAGGCTACATAATATAGAACCAAATGAGCAAGCTGGAAATGACAGTAATGCTCGTAATAATCCTAATAATGCCTCATTGGCAGCATAGAATTTTTATTTTAACCATTTCCGTGTTATCTTATCACCTTAAAACCTTTAGTATTCCTCAAATTCATTCACAATTTTTCTTAAATTCATAGTTTATATGTCCCCTTAAGAGGTTTCATAAAAACTTTAAAGACATCTATATGCCAATATACAAAGGCTTAATGTATACATTTGTACAAAAAAAAAAAACAATATATAAAATCATCTATGATAAATTTAACGCAGTTTTTGAACTTTTAATATATATTGTTACATTCGTATTCGTTATCCGAATATTCGAATAGAAATTTGGTTCAACCGGGCAAATGAACACGTGCCGCTTCTCGACACGTGTCAACCAATCATTTGCCCGGTTGAGCAAAATTACCGTTATTAAAAATTTTGCCGAATAATGACAATTTATAGGGAGTCATCGGCTGAGTTTTAATTCGATTAAGGGTAGAGTATAATTTATAAATTATATATAAAATTGACGGTACTTTATTTTATTTTAAATTAAGGAAAATTTATTAAATTTGGATTAAAGTTTAGATAGTATAAATTATTTACAATGATCATATGACATCAACCAATAAGAATCAGGTATTTTGTATTATTTAGAAAAATTTGAGGCATCTTTACATGTTAGTATGATTTTTAAAATTTTGATTATTATAAAATAGTGGTGTTTTTATTTAAAAATTATAAAATTTTGTTTTATTAATAATATACTTTTAGGAAACTGCATCATAGTTATACAAAAATTTTTTTCAAACTTTCAAAACTTTGATTGAAGATATATTAATAATTGTCGCAGATTAAAATGAAATCTAAGCAAAATGAAACTGGAAACCTTTTATGCCCACCTTTAGAGCCTATAAAACCTACATATATTTATTTATTATTAAACCTAACCTTAAACTCTACCCCTAATACTAATAAGAATCCCAAAAAATGTTTTTTAAAAAATTTTAAATTTTTCTTAAAAAACAGAAAAATTTTGGTTTGATCAGATTTCATTTTAATCTGTAACAATAATTATATAATTAAAATTATTATTTTTAAAGAATGTTTATAATTTTCTATATATATATTTATTAAAATAAAATATGATGTTTGTTTAAGAATTTTTTTTATTAAATAAATCACTAAGTTTTTAATAAAAATTGCAAAGCAAAGTTTGAGTTTTATAGCTTATTGGTTAAGCTTTCAAATTCTCATAAACAAAGTCATTGATTCAAGTTAGACTGGTAACAAATTTTTAATTTTTATTATAATATTATAGAGCTATAATCAAATACAAAGCTTTGTGAAAAGTTCAAGTGCATATATAATTCTGGAATAAGAATTTTAGAAGAAATCATAACTATAAAATATAAACAATATATATGATATCATTGTTATAGAATGTTTAAGTTATAGAAAATTGTATGAATAAATCTTCTGAATGAAATAATTTAGAATTAATACCAATATATTTCATATTTATATTAGGCAATATCAATATTCTGTATCTAACTTATAGGATATTTGCTTAAAAAGATAATTAATAGATTATATAAATAAGTTTTAATTTGAAAATGATACTAAATACTTGCTTGGAAGAGTGATATAATATTAAAAATAAAATGATAAAAGAAGCAGTAAATATGTAAAAGAGCTGTAATAAAAGATTAGTCTTATTTAAATTAAAAACACTTTTGGTATTATAAAACAACTAAATAAAAAAATAATTTTATAGAAACAAGCTAGTTAATCTAGTACAGTATATTTAAAATTATCAAGTCAAAGATCTAATCATATTTATATAAAAGTTTATAATAAAAGAAATCAGAATACATCAACAATAATGCAATATTAATTAATAAATAGAAGTTTAAGTTAAAAGTTAAGATAAATTAGAGTATATCTTTTAGTAATATGATGCAAGACTTATGGTTAAAAGTAAAGCTGCTTGTTACTTAAGGAATTTTGTAATGTTAAATTAGTTTTTAATAAAATAAATTACTGTATTAAAGTAGTATTACAAAATAAGGTTTTGGTAATACACTATATAAAAAAATATAAATAGGTTAAGTTAATCAAAAATAGCTCTTGTTAGTACTAACCTATTCACTTAACAGATCTAAATTCTTAACTAAACCCAACCTTCTAAAATTATCATATAATATTGTATTAATAATGAAAATTAAGAATTTACTAAAAACAACATCACCAACCAAGAGTGGATCATCTAGCAGCTACACTTGGATCAAACAATGGTGATACAATTTATTCAAATACTTATAATGAAACTAAAATAACAACACCAAATCTAAGCAATAATGATAATACCAAATTCAAAGATGGCTCTAGTAGCAACAAAACTGACACTAAAAAAAATTATTAGTTCAATGTGCATTAAAGCAAAAAAACAAAAAAAATCAACTGATTTAATCAGTTAATGATCACTATTTATACTCTGTAATTAGAGGTACATCATGATGCATAGTATATTAAATTATAAAATCTCAAATTTATGTTTTAATTAACTAATATATCAGAGATATATTAGTAATACAAGAAAAGTTGTATTACAGAATATTTAAATAAATAATATTCATAGTTGGATTACAGATACAACTTCTAGTGTAGAATCTATAATATAAGTTGTAGATGAACTACTTCAATTAAATACTAAAAGTGTATATATAACTAGTTGTATTCTTTAATATAAAGGGACTTATTTGTGACAATAGTTATAAGCTTCTGCACTTATTATTTAAATAAAAACCTTAAAACCAAAGAAGCTAGTTTAAAAAATAATAATAATATAAATAAGAAACATATTAATAAAAATGTATATATTTCAGTATAAATAGGTTTGGGTCTTATAGTTTAATGATTAAGTTTTATAGACAAGATCAATAATTTAAATTAGGTTAAAGGCAAATTATCTAATTTGTTTTTGTAATTTTGAAGACAATAATTAAACATGAAGCTCTGTGACTAAATCCAAATACAAATATAATACTGAAATAAGAATTTTCAGAAGGAAACTAAAATATGAAGAGTGAAAACTATATATAACTTTAGTGTTACAAAAGACAGTGGCTATAAAAATTGTATAATTAAGTTTTAAAAAACAAAATAGAGTCAATATCTTTATATCTTCACTTTAGGCAGTACCAACATCTCTACATCTAATTATAAATACTTGCTTGAAAGGAAGATTAGTGGCATGTTATTTATTACATAATTTTTATTATAGATATATAGTCAGTTGAGTAATTATATATATATGCTGTGCTTTAGATGCATTCTTATATCAGATCTAATTTAATACACATCAGATGCCAATTTTTAGATGATATATAGCATTTGTTGATCAGTTATCTAACATGCATTGGATTAAATCTAATATGTGTAGGTTGTAAATCAACATACTATTAAAATCATGTATTTAATTATTATTAAAAATTTTATGTTATTTAATTTGTATTTTATTTTTATTTTTATTTTTATTGTTATTTTTTTTTCACTTAGACAAAATCGTGCCAATGACCTATATTTATTCAAGTTAATCTTATAGAAGATTTAAGCTAATAAAACTTCAGCCTGACATCCTACAGCTACTATAATATAACTAAAGACTACCCGAGTACCTATAGATGACTTGACACATCGGTGAAATATGATCAATAAGATAATACCCTAACAAGAATCTTGTTCAACCACCACTCTATAATAGAATACCACCAATCTGATGATACCTTTTTATAGAGAAGTGAAAGAAAAAGAAAAAATTTTTTAAAATAACACAGAAGTAAAGGGAATTGCATTAAAAAAATACAAACAAGAAAAGAAGGGAGAAAGGGAAAAACAAAAAAAATTAAACTAAATACAAGATTTTTTACTCGTATTAGACAGTTACAATTATAAGCCTGTATTAAGCTCTATAAAAATTATATACTACTATTTAAACTAGTCTCTACTCTAATTTATATACATAGCATATCTAAAATAAGAAAAAAATCCTGCAACAAGATAAAAAAAATTAGCTTCTTTGACATCAGCACTATAGAGAGATTAGAAAGGTCAAAAAACTACACTAGAGATCTCGAGTAATTGTTTGTCTAGGTTGTTACATTCAAAACATATAATCTATATGTTCAGTTTCATATATATCCACATGTTTGTTGTAACAGATAAAAAGAAGTAAACAATGTGACCAATTTGGTAAGAAAATAATATGTTGATCTTTTGAAAAAGGTAAGCTGAATTGCCTACTTTTTTACAAATTTTTTTTTGAAAAAAGTGAAGAAACAATGAGAGTATATGAATTTTTCTATAAGTTTTATAGTTGTATAGCCAATTCTTCAAGTTTTAACTATCTTAGCAAGAATCTTTTGACTACTACTTGTTCCCAGAATAAACCTTCTAGTTTGGATGCTGAATAACTTAGAGAGTCTGTCAATATAGCAAAAAACTTGACCTCAAGAAAAATCATTTAAGTTACACCTGCTTTTCGGTATATCACATCTTTTAAAATTGTCAACAACAATCTACATGAAGGTAAAAACAGTTTTCAGAATAATCTTCTGGTTTGAATGCTAAATAACTTAGAGAGTCCACACAAAAAGAAAAAATTTTAACTTCAAGAAAAACTATCTAAAAAATAACCGCTTCTTATTATTTCATGTTTTCAAACTTTGTCAACAACTGCTTTACTCTAAGGTAGGATTGAAAAGTATCTGTCTTGGATGTTTTTATATTATTTTTCTGTAGTTCAGTTTTTGTTGTTGTTGTCTAGAAGATCGTTGGAAAGAGTTGAATTTGCATTTTATTATATAAAAAAAATAATAATAAACTAGCATATATACATTAATCTTTATTTAAACAAAAGTAATCACTATGACAACAGCTTGTATACTTTATATTAGCTTTTTTGTATTTGCACTTGTTATTATTGCATATATCCTTGCAATTATAAATAAAACCTGACACTATTCCTACACTTTGGTGTCTTGCTGCTTCATAAAT